GGACTTTAATCGAATCATAAAAAAAAGAAAAGAAAATTTTCCGGGCTGCCAAAATACCAACTTTTTGAATGGTGTAAAAAAGCCAATAAAAAAAAAAAAAATGCAAAACATTCTCGAATAGCGTGCAAAGCCGCCGGCCAAGCCTTTATAAAAAGCCTGATATTTAAATGTTTTCCATACGTCATTGTTTATTGTTTTCATCATCATTATTAAGATTTTCTGCTCGTCACCCGACAAGGTTCGTTAGATTTTTTTTTTCTTTGGTTTCTCATTCTCAAAAATAATCATCATTCTTTTTTTTCAATCAGAAAAATTTTTATCGGCAAAATGTCAACAACAACAAACAATTCAACAATACAACAACGATTCGAAAACATAATCAAACCAAATGAAGATAAACGAAATTATTTGGGTTTAAAACTGACCAATAATTTAAAAGTTATATTGATTTCGGATCCTGAAACAGATATATCAGCTGCTGCATTAAGTGTACATGTTGGTTCAATGTCTGATCCATGGCAAATTCAAGGATTGGCACATTTTTTGGAACATATGCTTTTTATGGGAACTAAAAAGGTTTTTGTTGTTTGTCATTTAGTGATTTGATGTGATTCGAATGCTTTTTTCTTTTCAATTTTTTCGTTATTCGTTTATAGTATCCAAACGAAAATGAATATAGTAAATTTTTATCACAACATAGTGGAAATTCAAATGCTTATACTGGTGATAGTATTACAAATTTTTTTTTCGATATTGCACCTGAACATCTTGCTTCTGGTTTAGATCGGTAACTAAACTAATTTGTTGTTTTTCCCATTCGGTTTTTCATACTAAATGTTTTTTTTTGTTATTTAGATTTGCACAATTTTTTATCGAACCATTAATGTTAGAAAGTTCAGTAAATCGTGAATTAGAAGCTGTTAATAGTGAATTTGAAAAAAATATTAAAGATGATAGTTGGCGTTTGTTGCAGATAAAAAAATTATTAGGTTCATCCAAACATGATTTTTATAAATTTAATATTGGTAATTATGAAACATTAAGAGATGGTCCAAATTCTTTAAACATTAATATTCGTGAAGAATTGTTTAAATTTTATGAAAAATGGTATTCAGCAAACATGATGTGTCTTTGTGTCTATGGAAAAGGTAACTGATGATTCATATTAATGATTTTTTGTTTTTTGTTTTTTTGAAATTAATTCTCATTTTCCAACACAGAATCACTGCAAGAATTGACTGAAATGGTTACATCATTATTTTCATTAATTTCAAATAAAAATATTGAACCACCAAATTGGCCAATTCATCCATATTCATCGGATAATCTAATGAAACAAGTACATATTGTACCGATCAAAGATAAACGTACATTAGAATTAGTGTTTACATATCCGGATGAAATTAAACATTATAAATCATCACCCGGAATGTATCTATCACATTTGATTGGTCATGAAAGTAAAGGTAGTCTACTTTCAGAATTAAAACGATTAGGTTTATCATCCGCTTTATTAAGCTATTATGATTGTATGGAAGGTTTTGGTTTTTTTCATATTAATGTTGATCTTACCGAAATGGCTATGAATCAAATTGATCAAGTAATTATATTGATTTTTCAATATATTCAAATGCTTAAATCGAATGGACCAAAATTATATATATTTGAAGAGAATAAAGGATTAAATTTTATTAAATTTAATTTTATGGAAAAATGTAATCCAATTGATTATGTACAGAAAATATCATCCGAAATGCATTATTATCCAATTGAAGATGTACTTTGTGCAAATTATCTGATTGATCAATTTAAACCAGAATTAATTAATGAACATATTGATTATTTAAAACCAGAAAATTGTATTATTGCAATATCATCGAAAAGTTTTGAAGGAAAAACTGATTCCAAGGAAAAATATTATGGTACTGATTATAAAATTATTAATATATCAAATGATTTGATTGAAAAATTAAAAAATCCTGGCCATAATGAACAGCTAATGTTTCCTGAACCGAATGAATTTATACCTACAAATTTTGATATTATTACCTGTAATAATAGCAAAGATGATGATATAAAAAAACCAAAATTATTAAAAAATACTGAACATTATCGGGTTTGGCATCTACATGATCAAATTTATCTTAAACCAAAAGTATTTTTAGGTTTTAAACTAATCAATCCGATTATATATTCAAATCCATATAATGTTAATATAAATTCATTGTTTACAATGTTATTCAAAGATGATTTGACTGAATTTCTTTATAATGCTGAATTGGCTGGTCTTTCATTCAACATACAAAGTACTGTTATGGGTTTTGATTTAGAATTTTTTGGCTATAATCATAAGATGAATATTTTTATTAAACAAATATTTGAAAAATTATTAAATTTCAAACCAACCGAACAACGATTTGAAATATTTAAGGAAAAATATTCAAGAAATCTTAAAAATTATAAAACACAACCACTTTATTATTTAACAAGTTATTATTTAAAATCTGTTACAAGTGAATTATTTTGGTCATATGATAATCTTATTGAAGCATTAGATCGAATGGATATTGATTCGATTCAACACTTGATGAAAATATTTTTAACAAATTTTTCAATTGAAACATTATTTCATGGAAATATTGATGAAAAACAAGTATTGGATATAATGGATTTTATACAGAAAAATGTTATCGAACCTAATCGTTCGATACCATTACATAAATATCATCAATCAGTACCGAGAGAAATCGTACTCGAACCCGGTTGTTCATATTCATATGAAGTTATTAATGATATACAAAAACCAAAAGCAATCAATATTTATTATCAGGTTTCATTTGATGATATTGTTGAAACATCAAAATTATTATTGATTGGACAAATATTAAGTGAACCTTGTTTTGATTATCTTCGAACTAAAGAACAATTGGGTTATGTTGTTTATACAAAACTTAGAGAATTTAGTGGTGTTTATGGATTGAATTTTGTTATACAATCGGATTATAATGTTTCGTATCTTGAAGATCGAATCGAAGCATTTATTGTTTGGGCAAAAGTAAGTGATTGATCAATAATCGATAATTTTTCTTTAATCGAAAATTACTATTTGTAATATAGAAAAATTTCATCGAAATGAATGAAGATGAATTCAATGCAGAGAAACAATCATTGATTACGCGGTTGTTGAAGAAAAAGAAACGTTTACATGATTATTCAATGGAATTATGGGGTGAAATTTCAAAAGAACGTTATCATTTTAATAAAAATGAAGATTGTGCTGAAATTGTTAAAGGATTACAGCTTAAAGATGTTACTGAATTTTTTATTGTAAGTAGTGCCCTTATAGCTATTTTTTTGTTTTTGATCAAAACTTTCTCATTTTTTTCAAAAAAAAAGAAACATTTCACTATTGAATCACCTGATCGAAAAAAGATTATGATCAAAATTGTTAAAACAGATTTGGAAGCAAATAAAACATTACCACCATCGGCAAATGATTCGGATCTATTGCCTGCACCACCGAAAAAGGTTAGATGAAAAAAAACGAAAATTTTTTGTTCAAATCATTTTAATATTTTTCTTTTTTTATGAAATAATAGGAATCAATATTGATTGAAAATGTAGAAGAATTTACTAAATATAAATCACTTTATCCATTGCCGAAACCGAAAACAACAACAACAATTTTAAAAAAAGAATAACAACATTTTCTCAAAATAAACAAACAAACAAAATAGCATGATTTTTTTAATTTCAAATTCAAATTTTTTCACAAAAAAATATATAGATTATGATTCGGTTTCAGATTTATCATCAAAATTTAAGATTTTTCTATGTGTCTGCCGTATGTATTGATTTTGTCTTAGTAGAATTTTAATAAAACCTTTGGCCAAAACAAATGTTAATCCACCCTATTTGAAAATGAAAAGAAAAATTGTAACAAACAACGGACATAGATTATTATTAAATAAAAATTGAAATTTTTACCAGTATGGCACGACTAAAATTTGATTTGATATTATCGAAAAAAATGCCACCGAAAAATGTTGCAGCTGTTGGTAATATTAATGCACCACAAAAATTACGACAAATCGAAATCGGATCCGACATTGAATCACGTGCAAATATTGTTTGTTCAGCATATTCACGTGATTTTTCGGCCGCCGGTTTTCCCATAACATAACCAAATAATGGTAGACGACATTTATTCTGTATCCATAGTTTTAATATTTGATCTTCCCAACGAATTAATTTCGATAGTATTAATGCAACTGGAATGGATGGTAATCCTACCAATAAAACTAATGGATCTGATTGTTCGATTACAATTTTACCATTTTCTTTTCCTATTTGTTTTCAAAGTTAAATCATTGTTGAATTAGTAGGTATTCGGATTTGTTTATTTTTTCAGCTTACCTAAAACTTGCATAATAGTAAAAGCACCATAACAAACGGCACTCCAATAAATTGATCCTACTATACAGGTAATTGCAGCCAATGGAGATGCTAAAATTCAAGAATGATAATCATGATTAATTAATTGATATTTTTTGAAAAAAAAATTTGAAAAGTAAATACCTGAATATAGAATTCGATCACATAATTCGATTGTATAGAATATTTTTCCTATGTTTTTTTTTAATCCAGGTAAAATTGATTAATAATTTATATCAGTTTAGTTTATCAATTTGTATATTACCATGTTGTGGAAAAACAATTAGATATTCTGTATTGCATTGTGTACAGGAAACATTCAATGATGAATTATATTTTTGTTTTTCATCGATCCATTGTTGAAGGCAATTCTGGTGAACCCATTTGGCTGTATAATATTTGAAATTAGTTTTTTAGGAAAATTCAAAAAATTCAATTTACCTGAACCATTACAACGACATGGATGAATCCATTCGGTATCTGATTTTTTATCATTATCTTCTTCATCATCATCATCGTCGTCATCGGAAGCAAGACAAACCCAACATTGACGGCTATCATCATCGAATGAAAAAAAATTTTTTTTAAACAAAATTCAATGAATCATTTTTTCCGATCATCATACCTTTCATTGACTATAATTTGTTCAGCAGTTTCATTACCACCGTCACCACCAGCAGCATCATTATTATTCGTTACCGTAATTTTATTTTCATTATTTTTCAATGAATTTAATGTGGATGACTTGACTATTTGTTTTAAATCACCATTATTCGATGATAATGTTGATGTTGATGATGATGATGGTGTTGGAAGAAAATATTCGGATGGAATTGAAATATGATCCTCTGTTGTTGTCGCTTCTTCTTCTTCTTCATCGCTCATCATCACTTCGATCTGTACTTCGATTCGATTTTTTGAATCGGCCATCATTATCTCATTTGGTTATTTCGTTTTGGTTACAAAAATATTTTTCAACTTTTCAATTTTATCAATCGAAGGTTGTAAATAACGTAATGCAATGCAAACAAATATATTATTTTAATGCATGCGTGCAATTGAAACCAAATGCAAAACAAAAAAAAAACTCACAATAACATAGACAAATAATTTATCCAACAACAAAAAAAAAACGAAATAATAATATTAATGACACTACAGTGGTTTTCAACTTTTTTTTGTTCACATTCAGATCTTGTTAATCTTGTTTATTCGTTTTGTTTCGTTTTTTTTACATTGATTACGCAAAATTATCAATCAATGAATGGACAAAAATATGTTTTTTGGATGAAATTTTTTTAGAAAAATTTAGATGATTAAATTAACCAACAGAACAAAACTCTAAATTGGTTGAAGTTCACTGAGTTTCTTTTGCATTTTCTTCAATGGAAAATTGATGTCATAAACATGTGATCCGATGAGACCGTTATATTCGAATTGCTCATCATCATCATCATTATCGATAATGGTCATCGATACCAAGTATCGATAGTTTTTTTTCCTATATACACCTATTCGAATGTTATAACATTCGAATTTTTTGTTTTTTTTTTGAATTTGTTCTTCCTGGTTCAATCATTTATCCATCCGGTAACATTACAATAATTGCATCATTGTCGATACCGTGTTTGTGTGTGTTTTTTGAATCAGATTTTCAAGAAAAAAAAAGAAGAAGCCAATTGTCAAGTCAATCATATACAGAATGAATGAATAATGGTTAAGAATTAATCAACAAAAAACGATGATAATCAGACAGAATGTAATGTTGTTGTCGGTATTATATATACCGACCGAAAGTGTTATTTGCTTCGAATTTTTATATATAGCAACAAAAAAAAAAGACCGCTATCAACCATTTGGTCCCTGAATTGAAAAAAAAATGAATGGCGCCTGTCTGAATATATATTTTTTTTCCTGGTTGTTCCGATTTCGATCATCTTCGAATAGAATGTTGTTGTCGTATGTGTATTCTATATATATGATTATTTTATCATTTGTGTTTTTTTTTCATTGACATAGATCTATATACACCGTGCATATGATGATAATGATGAAATTGAACGACCGCTATATCATCAGCTTCCCCATTATATTTATATATCTCAAACACAATATTGTTATTATTCTCAATGACACGACGATATGTATGTGTATGTGTATGTATGTATTAATATTGTATCATCATCATGGTTTATAGAAAATTCAATGTATGCTCCAAATTTTTTTTCTTTCATTCTTCTTTCTCCAAAGCTTTTCTTCGCTCACTTAAAATTCACCATCCGTCCGTCCGTTCATTGAATATCAACATTGAATGAATTTTTTGAAGATTCTGCGCCACCGAAAAAAAAGAAGAAGAAATGAAGAAATTTACTTCACTCAGTATTGTATAGTGTTTATTTGGCGAATCGATAGATAGAATGTTGGTTAGGCCAAGTCTTGAGATTCGTAAACTGAACTGAAGAAAGGCAACCAAGAATTTTTTTTTTTACATAGCTAAATTCAATAACGAAGATATGATGAAACAAATCAACTGAATCCAGGAATACGTAGAGAGCGATAGAGAGAGAGTGAGAGAGCGAAAGCGAAAGTCCTAAATAAAATGATCTGATTCTTTTCATCAACATTCAGCCATTGGTTATCTACGTTATCTTAAACAGAATCAAAAAACAAAAATTTTAAATTTTTTTTTCTGTTCTTAAAAATCTTCGAATTCCAAATGATAATCGAGTGCAATATATTTCTAAATTATTCAAGTGCAATATCATCATCATCAGATTTTTTTTTGAAAAGTGAAAATTCTTTGTTCTAGTCATTATTTTGTTAAATTATTTTTTACAAAACTGAAATGATAAATTCAATGTGACCTATCTCTTTGTTGTTGTTTTTGTTGTTTTTCCTATTCTCATTCATCAAATTATTGAATTCAAAAATATTGATACAAATAACAAAATATTTGTACAAAGAAAAATTATTCTGATCAATCAATCAATCAATCATTCAAAAAAAAAGAGTAAACTCTCTTGCTTGGTGTAAAGAATCTAATCTAATATCGATAGATATGAATGAAAATGAATTGAATATTTCACAACAACAACAACAACAAAATGTTTCAAAACAATCGGATGAAATCGATAATGGTGGTCAATCAAGATCAAATGAATCCGATTGTATCCATAATAATAATAATGGAAAATCATCATCATCATCATTTATGAATACAGCCAATTTTCTATCTAATCATAATCATCATTTTAATAACAGTCATATGCAACAACAACAACAACAACAAAGTGGACATAATGAATCATCATCATCATCATCGTTTGATGAATTAACATCAAATATGATGTTGAATAATCATTCATTGTTATTAGATACAACAACAACAACAAATACAACAAATAATTCTAGACATAATTCAGAATTGCTTACGTCCACCATTAATAATAATAATAATGGTGATGATGATAAAGATGATATTTCTGCAACATTTTCCAATCTAAACATTGGTAACAATGAATCGAATAATGATAATGATAAATTTTGTTGGTCTGGAATGGATGTAGCAGCCAACGCAGCAACGAACATCACCAATAATAATTTGAATGAAAATTTTACAAATCATCAACATTATGTTGCTGCGGCTACAGATAATGGTTTACAATTTTCGGGTAAGATTTTTTGTTTCTAGTTATTCATCATATTTTTTTGAAAAACAATAATTAAATTTTTTTTTTTGATGTTCTGTTCAAAACAGATCAATCTTTAGTTCAAAAATTACAAGTACAAAATCAATCTGGTCAACAACAACAAATAAATTTGTCAAAAATTTCAATGAATTATGGTTCATCATTGAATCGATCTCTTTTGCTTGCATCACCGAATTCTAGTCTTTACAATAATAATAACAACAACAATACTAGTAATAATAATGCAGTTATTCAACAAAATAATAACAACAAATCATCCAATCCAATAAATTGGCCACGATCATCATCACAAATAAATTCATCATCAACAAACGGTATGAATTGTTGGTCAAATGCTGCATTCACAACGAATTATCCGGTTTCATCGGTATATCCATCGAATTCTTCGAACATTGTTTCATCATCGTCATCACCATCTGCATCATCATCATCACCGAATGCATGGTCGAATGTTTTATATAATCCACAACAACAAAAACGTAATCCACATCAATTTTCGATCAATAATCAAAATCTGATGGCAAATACAACGGTTGCTAATAATAATAATAATAATAATACTGGTAAAAGATCATTTTTTCCAAATGATAATCAATTTTTTATCAATGAAGCGAATCAAAAATTACGTCGCCAAACAGCAATGATGATGCCGGCAAAAAATTATCCAACTTCGTGTTTACCCGGTGGTCAAACAACCAATACATATGAATTAAATTCAGCCGGAAGTGATAATACTTCATCATCAAGTGATTCGGCTAATCTTCGCGAAAATGGATTATTTTTTCATGTATGTTTTTTTTGTTATTGATAATGATGATGATGATGTTTAATTTTTTTTTTTAATTAAGGATAAAAATTTTGAACAAACACCGATACTTGATTCATTTACACGAACCGCATTAGTAGATCCACATCCGCTATGTGATGCATTGAAATCAAGCCAAGAAGCGAATAAAAATATATTCAATAATTATGCTTGCCAACCGAATTTACAAGGTTAGTGTGTGATTATTATATTCACGTTGAAAGATAATCTTTGTCTTAAAAAAAAATTCAAATTCAGATGATAAAAAACATCTCGCAAAAGGTCGCTTCAATCGAAAAAGAGGTAACCTTTGTAAATAACCTTTTTATTCAAATGGATTATTTTTCATTCTGGTTTTTTCATTAGGAAAATCGCCATTTTTTACAGGAAATGATACCGAATCATTGTTTAGTGAATTTCCCATGTCAAGTACTGATCCTAATGAACGATTTTCACGTAAAGTTTTTGTTGGTGGTCTACCACCTGATATTGATGAAGGTAATGAAATGAATCATTTATAATTTTTATTAATCAACATGATTCTGTTATACAGAGGAAATAACTGCCAGTTTTCGACGATTCGGACATTTAGTAGTGGATTGGCCACATAAAGCCGAAAGTAAATCATATTTTCCACCGAAAGGTATACATCACTATTGAATTTATTATCAAAAATATTTTATATCAAAAATATTTTGCTATGATCAACCTTTAGGTTATGCATTTTTATTGTTTCAAGATGAATCTTCCGTACAATCTTTGATTGATTGCTGTATTGAAGAAGAAGATAAACTTTATCTTTGTGTTTCAAGTCCAACAATGAAAGATAAACCGGTAATATTTATTTTTCACTTTTTTTGTTTGTTTCGTGTATTGATGTTTGTTTGCCAATCTCTTTAGGTACAAATTCGTCCTTGGCGATTAAGTGATGCTGATTATGTTCTTGATGCATCGATGCCTTTGGATCCAAGAAAAACGGTGTTTGTTGGCGGTGTTCCTCGCCCACTTAAAGCTGGTAATTTACATTGATGAAGTTGAAATTTTCTATGTAACTCTTTTCTTGAATGGTTTTTTTCAGTGGAACTTGCAATGATTATGGATCGTCTTTACGGTGGTGTTTGCTATGCTGGAATCGATACTGATCCGGAACTTAAATATCCAGTTAGTATTATCCATCAATCTTGTTAGATTAACATTATTCATAATTAATTGACAATTACAGAAAGGAGCTGGTCGTGTAGCATTTTCTAATCAACAAAGTTATATTGCGGCAATCAGTGCACGTTTTGTTCAATTACAACATGCTGATATCGAAAAAAGAGTATGTCAATCAATGTAATTACTTTAGCTTTATAATTCCTATATTTTCTTATGTTGTTTGTCATAGGTCGAAGTGAAACCATATGTGTTGGGTAATTGTTTATTGAATCATTTCATTGAATTGACTATTACTAATATTTATTTCATTTAGATGACCAAATATGCGATGAATGTCAAGGAGCTAGATGTAATGGAAAATATGCTCCATATTTTTGCGCCAATATAACTTGTCTTCAATATTATTGTGAAAATTGTTGGGCTACCATTCATTCACGACCGGGTCGTGAATTTCATAAACCATTAGTAAAAGAAGGTGCCGATCGACCTCGTGCTATACCATTTCGTTGGTGTTGATTGAAATGAAATGAAGTTAATTTTTTTTTTTGATGTTTGAATTTTTTTCGATGACATGTTTCTTCCCTGATTCACATACCCAATACACACACACACACACACACATACGAAGATGATACATTTATTATTTATTATTTTGATTGATTTTTTTTCTGGCACTACGTGTTTGTTTTTTACACGTGCTTACTATTATTATTTTTGGCTATTGATTGATTGATCTCCTTTTTCGTTACTTAATTACTTACTTACTTACTTAATTTGTTACTCTAATCTCTTTCATCTTTATAATTCTATGTCTTTTTTTTAAAAAAATTTTCTAACAAACAAACAAACAAAATAACTACTACTACTAGTCGCCTTTTTATCATCATTTTTTTCAATTCGAATGATTTATATATGATTATAATCTTTTATCATTCTATATACTTTGACTTATTTATTTATATTGTGGCCATTTTTTTTCTACATGATTTTTTTTTCATTTGCACAAAAAATCTCTTTACAAAAAAAACAAGTAATTTTTTCATTTTTGAGATAATTCTGAGTTATCTCTGAGAGAAGGCAAACCACACAAACACAGACACACAGACAGAATCCGATTCCTTTTTTGTTTGTTTGTTTTGATTGTCCTCGCTCCACAATTTCTACAAAAATCATCAATTAGTAATTATTGGTCACATTGTTTTGTTTTTTGTTTTTTATTCTTTAATCGATTTATCCATCGTCGTCATTTGTTATTTAATGTTGATTCTTTTTCTTTTTTTTTAAAAAAAAACCCAAACATAATGACTTCCACTGAAATTTTTCCCTGTTTGTTTCTTGTTTTTTTTTGATTCTACCCTTTCCTACAATCTAGTCAATTTTGGTTACCAAAATTTTTCTCTGCTTAGATTGACAATCAAAATAGAAAATATTTAGATCAAAAGTTATTTCAGTTGTTGATACCCCCATCTCTCACTTCAATTTCTATTTCCAGTAATCCTTTTCTCAATAATTATCCCAAACAAACAAACATCAGTGCAATTCTATATCAACTCTTCAAAACCATTAAGTTAATTTAGTCAATCGATGAAACAAATTCTGAAGATTCTTTCCCTCATACCAATCGAATAAGATATATTTTTTGATTTTTGAATTTTCACTCGTCAAACTTTTTTTTCCCAGCTCGGTAAACAAGTTTTATAAATCAATTTTTATAATAATAAAATAGTTCAAACATCGACAATGAACATGAGATTTTTGTTTTTCTCTTTACCGTTTTTTTGGTTCATATTTTCTTGATGAATTTTACAAAGTTTTACTCAAAACTTTTACTCAAAAACAATTTTTCTAATTTTTTTCCGGTATTTTTTCTGATGAAAAATCTTTGACCAGTAATTTTTGTTTTTCTAAATTTTT